CCGTTTTTGAGTTCGCTGAAGGTGAGATTGTGTTTATAAATTTTTCTAGCTATCATTATGATATAATAAGAATTATTATATGAAGAAATCAATATGTGCTCATGCTTTGGTATTAATTCCGAAATTTAAGTATTTTTCTCCGAGCCAAACCATTTCAGTTTAAGCATATCAGTTTTATTTCCGGACTTAGTATTATTTTAGAAAACCATTAGAGTGTTTCTTTAAATCCGGATAAGTTACCAGTTGAAGTCAAGCATCCTAGCATCTTATTGAGCATATTACGAGCATAGTACTTAGTATATTTGTTTATATTTTTATGTAGCTTGCAGATACAGCTACCTAGAACAACACTTACAGTTTTCAAAAGTTTTCAAGCAGAAAAGGTGGGGACCCAGCCTGGGTATTACATTGATTATAATATGATATCATGTCCGAGGTATGTATACAGTTTATACGCTTAGGATGAAGGCCCTCAGTTGCCTTAACAAGTACATCCTATGTTCTGATGGAGGCCCTTAGTTGCCTTAGAAATATCCATCAGAGTGTGCACACGTACCCGATCAGATATCGGCTAGATTAGAGATTCAGTTTCAGTTACTGGAAAAGATTTCCAGTCCAGATATATACTGATGATCATGATATTGTATTATTATTGCTGTTTACTTTAGTATGGGTTTTTATGGGGTACAAAAGGACCAGTACTAACCCCTATTGTGTTTTTCAGGTAACAGGGTCGGTTCAGAGGTGTGAGCTGAGTAGTGGTGGTGGGGTCGTGGATTCAGACTGTTGATTTTTACGAGGACATTTATTTATACAGTCTGTAAAATAAAAGACATTTTAAGACTTTTCCGCTACGCATTTAAGTTTCGAACTTGCATGTTAAAGTTTTTTAGATTTACAGATTTTAACCAGTTCGCCAGCAGGAACAGGTTTTCAGATTTACATGCTTGTTTCGATAAAGATTTAAAATCTATTTTCTTTACGTCTAAACCAGCAGTTAGACCAAGTTTAAAGAAAAACAGATTTTCAGAAAAGATAAGTTTTAGTAGCATCCCGAGTTAAGAGCAAAAGATTTCGAAATATTTATAAGTATTTTCGAAATAAAGTTGCGAAAAATTTACTCTGATAAGCGGGGTGTTACAGGCCATCCGAGCCCGTGACCGGTCCGCGTGAACCCATTTGTGACCTTTTGAACTGTTTGACTTTGCCTTGACCCTCTACCTCATTTTTCATGTCGAGTCCATGCTTAAATAATTTTAATCGGTTTTCGAGTCTAGTTGTCAAGTCCAAAGGTTCCATACTCCACTAGCAATTCAACGAATCACCTAGTCGATAATGTTTCGGTCAAGTGAATGTTGTTGTATGTGGTTTTAAGTGTCAGGATAGTTTGTTAATAGAACTACCTTGATTAATGTAGGTTCGACGAGCTGAGCCCTCGACATAAGTTCTTGCCTTGTGATATTTGCTACTTCGGCAACCAGGTGGATTATTTAAGTTCCTATGCGTTAAATTGTTTATGTCTTGTTGGGTTGGTATGATAAATGTATGTATGTGAACCATGTAGCCAACCGATGTGTGTTGTTCGGCCGTCGGTACGATTGTCCCCGTCGATGTAATACGGTGCTCTTGTGACGCAATCTCCTTAACTCCTAATAAAAGGTCGTGTCGTGGGTTGAGGCCACGACATGTACTCCCGCCGTTATGGTAATGAATCCCCTTTCTGTGGCTAATGAAAGATGTGTACACAGGAGTAATGTTATTATGTGAATAGGAGATATGACAGGATTTATTGATTTATGTTTATGCTGCGACCGTACCTATATGTCATAAATATACTCTATTTATTTGCATAGTGGTGAGTACCACGGGTTCCATATGTGCTCATCCCCACTTTTCTTTCCCAGATTGAGCAGTGGCAGGCATGATGGCATGAGGACGAGTGGCTGGTCTTTTATTTATGTTATTTGCTTCCGCATTGGTCTTATGAACTAGTTGCTTGATTTTTTAAATACATGTTGGTCTTCTTTCAAACTTGCGTTTTGAAAAGGTTAAACGTGTGGATTGGTTTTCTTTGAACCCGATAAGTGGGTAAGTTTCTTATTTGAGACATGTCGGATATTCATGTTTATGTGCATTTGAATATCATGTTGAATTTGGTTTCATGTTGATGTGTTAGTTTTGGATAATGAAATCGATGTGAAAGACCTGGTAATGAATACCCGTGAGTTTCAAATATGACTTGAAATACGATAATGCCCATGTTAAAGTTAATTTTTAAAAATGAATTTCGAAAATGTTATCTTGATTTTTCTGAAAGTCCAAAATTTCTTTAAAATCAAAGTGGGGCGTTAAATGGCTTCTCAGACGGAGATAGATACGGACTCGCCCAAGACTGTCATGTTCAAAGTCCCATTCTTCACATCAATGAGAGTGTTGGTGGTGGCCATGAATGGTCTGCCGAGAAGAATGGTGTGGTCCTTCACATTCTCTTGTACGTCCCCCACATCTAGAACGACAAAGTCCACCGGGACAATGAGCTTTCCTACATGAACAAGGACATCTTCTACTACTCCTTCGGGGTATCGGATTGAACGGTCTGCGAGTTGTAGGCACATACGAGTGGGTCTCAAGTCTCCGAGGCCGAGCCACTGAAAGATAGAAAACTGCATGAGGTTGATTCTCGCTCTGAGGTCAAGCATCCACGAAGCCTCTTTTCCATTCTCGAGGGCTATTTTAATCACGAAGCCCCAGAGATCACGTTCCTTCTTGGGTAGGTCATGTTGCATCGCACTCGCTGCCTCGTAAACCACCACTTTCTCCCCATCTCCGAACTTCCTCTTCTTTGTGACCAAGTCCTTGAAGAACTTCACGTTCGATGGCATGTTCGTGATCATGTCTAGGAGTGTTAAGTTGACGTTGACCTTCGAGAGCATGTTGTATAGGTCTCAGAATTGTTGTTCCTGCTTCTCATCTCGAAGTTGGCTCGGGAAAGGTATGCGTGGCTTGAATGGGTTTGTGGATTTGTGCAACATAGAACCCTCCGTCGGCTTCCTTGAATCAGTTTCTATACTCTTCTCAAGGTTCCCTTCTGCTCCCTTGGGCTGGTCGGTCGGATTAAGTTCATCAAGTTCGGTCATTTGCACGTGGTTGTCAACAACGTTCCCGCTCCTCAGCACTGTAATTGCCTTAGCTTGTTCAGGCAGGCTCGGTAGCTTCCCTTTGTCTGAGTCGGCCTCCATGTTCCCAACTCTTGTGGCAAGCTGGCCCAACAGTGTTTCAAGGCGTTTGATGGATGCCTCATTGTAACGTCCCGTTCATTATTAGAATTTTTTATTTTTATATTATTATTTATATTGAATATTTGCCTATTTATTTAAATTGCTATGTGATATAAATTATGTGATTATTATGTTATTATTTATGTGTTAAGTTATTAGGATTTATTTGTATTAGTTTTATCGTTCGACGATTTTCGATTTAATCGCGTTAACCGATTCTTAATCCGTTCTGATTTCGTTTTCGAACCATTCCAACCTAATCCTTGAATTTATTCATTTGAACCGAGTTAATGCTAATTTAGGTCCATTTCGGCTCATAAGATCCAGGTCAATTGGGTGTATTGTTTCCAGCCCAGTTTAATTGTATAAAATCGGCCCAAATCTAATGATATTTTAACCGGGCCCAATTTCAATAGAGTCTTGGCCCAAATGATATTAATTATGAGGCCCAAGTGGAGATTGCCAGCCTTTTTCTTCTCTTTCTTCCCGTGAGACCGAGTCTCTCCATTTGATTACCAGTTGAGATGTTCCAAAGGAGCGAAAAGAAAAGGCATAAACGAAATATTGAAATTGAATTGACAAAAACGAATCTTTCCCGTCGTCTTCTTCCCCGCATCCCTCATCTGTAAATCTTTCGTTGCCTTCCCGACAGGGCACGTCGAGTGCTCGGCGGTGGCTCTTCTGGGCCCCGCGGCTCGCCACCTAGAGTTGCGCCGCTAGAGGGGGCTTTTTCGCCGGGGAGAAGCTCGCGACGTTTTCCGGTGTTCAGCCTCTGGAGCCGGAAGCGTGTGGCGGGTTTTCGTTCTCCTCCGGTATCTCCGTTGCGGCGGCCTTCGGCGCTCTCTTGGAGCGAGGTGCGACCCCAATTTCCCAATTTAGGGTTTGGGGTGGAGATTGGATTCTGGCCAAATTGGATTCTCCTGGCCCTGGTACAGAGTATTAGAGCCATAGTGGTCAGCGATTAACGGTAGGTGCTGAACCTTGGCCTCGCAGTCGCCGGAAGGGTGGGTGTGGAGTTTTGGAATCGTGTTCGCCGGAGATCGATTGATTGGGCTTCTGTGCTCGTTGGAAGGGTTGGGCTTGGCCGGGCTGGGATGGGCCGGTTCGGGCAGGGCTGGGCTGTGCTGGGCAAGGTTGGGCTGGGCTGGGAAGGGCTGGACAAGGTTGGGTTGGTTGGCCAGGTGTCTTCGTCTCTGGGTGACAGTGGAGTTGTTCGTCTGGACGAGGGTTAGGTCCGTTGGTTTTCGACTCCGTTAGGCGTTTTCTTGCAGTTTCTGGGTTGGGATCCTGGACCGAGACTTTGCCATTGTTGGACTCGATGTGGTTTTCTGCTTGGGAAGGGCTCTCATTTTATTTATTCTTTGTTGTAGTTTGTTGGTCTGTGTCTTTGTTATTGTGTTGTATTTACCTAGGCCTGTCTTTTGGCACTGATGGAGTTGAATGATTAACCTGGGTGGGCTCGATCGCTTATTGATTGCCATTCGGGGTGGCGGTCAAACAATTTCATTAGTGTTGCGGGAATGGGATTGTCGTGTTGTGTTGTTTTGTTGTTTAGCTTGTAGTAGTTTCTCCCGTAGGGGAGTGTGTTTCTTAATTGAAATGTATTTCAGCCCTTTGAGTGGTATATTATTGGCCCATCTTGCTAAATTACTCATAGCCATTTTTGGTATTTAGTTCTGGCCCAACTGAATTAATCACCTCGGTCTAAATGAGTTAAAATTTTCAGCCCTTTATTATTGACTTCTCAAGAGAGTGTCGTGCAATTGGAAAATTCTCATCCCTAATCCTCTTCATCAGCCGCTCCTCATCTCCTTCTTCTTTAAAATTTCCCGTCACCTCACTCTCTTCTCGGCAGAGACGAGCTCCGACCGAAAGTTGTCGAGGCTGCCGATTTCCTCCAGTGATGCCGCACGCCGTCGTGTCTTTCTTCGCCGGCAAACTCGCGAGCAGCTGCAGATCCCAGCTTCCAATCGCCAATCTCAGCCTTTCCGTCAATCCACCATAGCCGCGCGAGTCCATCTCCGAACAGCAACAGCGGCCCGCCGTGATGAGCAGCAGCTTCCGTCCGTTCATCCGACGAGAGCGAATTTCTGAGAGGTCGACTTCAGGCGACTGAGGGAGAATCCATCCAGCGACGGCAAAATTCCGATAGGCCCGAATGAGAACAAGCAGATGGCGATTAGAGCAGATTCCTGGCAAGCACACCCGATTTGCGGCGAATTTCAGTCAGCGACGGCCCGAGCTTTGTCCGACGACTTGTTCTCTGAGCAGGTTCGGGGCACTACCGATGATCAGAATCCCGCGGCTGACGAGCAGGTCATGTTGGTCGCAATCGAGCTATAGTTTCCGGCGATATTTCAAGGACGCAAACAACCCGAGAACTCCTCTGACCGGGAGCAACCAGGAGTCTAATAAATCAAGCGTCCGGCAGCAGCTAAACCGAGCTTTTCTAAGAACCGAGAGCCAATCGAGCTTCCCCTTTTGGCTCTGTTCTTAGACCCAAGAACGGTAAATTTGGCTGAGCTCTTCAACACCTTATTTGGCCGAAATATCTTAGTTGAGATTTTAAGGTTCAGTTCCATTGGTATGCTTAGGCTTGGGCTGTTGTTTTTGTGCCATGCTTGTAACTTATGTGTTGAGCTTATGATATGTTTATCATGCTGTAAATGAGTATATATTAGAGTGATTAATTTCAGTTTTTAACTGTTTCTGTTATGGTTGGTGAATAAAAGAAATAGAATGGAGAAAATAAAGTTCATTTGTACATGTTGTGTATGTCTTATTTGAATGGTTTATGTATTGTACCTTAGGTGTATCATAATTTCTGTTTATGTGTTTAGATGTTGTGTATGTCTTATTTGAATGGTTTATGTATTGTACCTTAGGTGTATCATAATTTCTGTTTATGTGTTTAGATGCTGCTGTGTTGGGTCAATTCAGAGGCTAAGATTCAGTTTTGTGGCCTTAACTTGTCATTTAAATATTGATAGAGTTGGCCTATGTTAGTTAAAGAGAGGGAAATGAGAATAGCACTTGTAGGTGTTATTTTTGGGCCGTATGTTTTTGTTTTAGCCGAGGCTTTTCATGAGTTTTTGAGCATGCTGTAAGGTGTTAAATATAGAGTTTATAATTCAGATGTTGTGGACCTAGCATGTTAAAAGAATAAGAGGGCTACATTTTATGTATGTTGTGTGCTAGTTTTCTTGATTGCCTATTTGTTTGATTTTGTGAGATTTAATTTCAGTTAATATGTTTTTATTTGTGAGTTAAATTTTACGGTTATTATATGATCTATGTTTGGTCTTATTTGAGAAAATGTGGTTTAAGAAGAGTAGTTATAAAGTTTATGTCATATTTTTATCTGCTTATATTTTTACCGAATTATATGCTCTTATTTGATGTACGTGCTATACGTGTTGTAATTGGTTATTTTGCATTTTAATCAAAACCCATAGTAATGAAACTTAATTAAAAAAAAATGTAGGTTTTGAGGAGTCGAGCCCTCTGCCTACCCTCGTCTGAATATCGTGTTTGTCGTCTGTTTCGACTAATCAGGTGGGTTTTATTCATGAACTTGCTATGCCTTAATTAATTGTTATTGTTGTGGTATGATCAATGTATGCATGTGGACCATGTAGCCTTCGATGTTAGCTGTACCGGCCGTCGAACGGTTATCCCCGTAGCTATAGAACGTACCTTCGGGTAGTCTCCTTTATTATTGTTGGCAGTCAAGGCGTGAGCCTTGGCTGGTGATCCTCGTATGTAAGGCCAAGACGTAAGGTTTGGCATTCAGGGTGGATGTACTCCTTAGGTAAGGCGTTCGGTATATAGTTCGGCAGTAGTCTATTGCTATAGGTGTGCACATGAGACGATTATTGATTATTAATAGGAGGTGGGACGATTATTGATTCGTATACATGCTGCAACCATACCTAAATTGTTTATTGATTATTGAATATTAATTATTGCATAGCGGTGAGCACTTTGATTTTCCTATTGTGCTCAACCCCACTTGCTTTTCATGGATGTAGGTTAGTGTTGCGGGCACGGCGACGGGATGCGAGTGGTGGTCTTAATAATTGATATTGCTTCCGCCTAGAACTAAATATTGCTATTACTGCTTTCTTTATTATTAATTACTGGATTGTTGATAGAGAGTGTACGCCCTAGGATGATTTGATTATTGGATTGCGAAATTGAGTATTGATAATTGAGTATTGATGATTGTTTAAGTATTGGTGAATGATTGAGTATTGAAAATTTTGTTAAGTATTGATAAACCGTTTGAAAATGAGTAACGCCTCAAGTGTTTATTGAAATAAATTTGAAAAATTTATTCTGATTTTCGGCAATTAAAAGTGGGGCGTTACACTCGTTATTCAAGTCCCTCTGCTCGCTGTTGGCCATAAATTGGAGGATCTTGTCCAGCTTGTCGTCCTGATTAGATGAACAAGGACCGTCCCCTCGTGTTTGCATTCCACCCATCTGACCCCACTGCGGTTGGTGTTGATGTTGTTGGGGGTAGTTCGATCTCATCTGCTGTTGGGAAATAATGTTCGGTTGGGGTTGCTGCTGTGTGAAATTGGGTCGGGGCTGCTGGACATTGTTGTTGTTGGACCACAAGAAATTTGGGTGGTTTTCTCCACCCAAAGTTGTACGTGTTGGAAAAAGGGTCATTGACTGGCCGGTTCTAGTACCCCTGTAAGGCATTGGAATCTGCATACTGCTCACTGAAACCCCGATCGAATGTCGAAGGGCACACCTCATACCTATGTCCGTGGACACCACATGCTCCACACGCTTCTACAACCATAGTCTGCATTGGCTGGCCTCCCCTTGCATTCAGTAGCCGCATCTGCTCCGTGAGCTCGGCTATCTGATGGGCCATCATGTCTCGCCCAAAAGATACTTCGTTGACCACGACCCTCTTTCCTTCACTGCTCTTTTGAGACGAGTTAGAACTCATCGCTTAAAAAATATCCATCATCTCCTCGGTCGTCCTTGCCCCAATATCCCCACCAGCCGCATTATCCACCATGTACTGAAGATTCTGGTTGAGAGAGTCATAGAAGTTGTTCATCAGTAGGGCCGGTGGGAAATTGTGGTGCGGGCACTGTCTCTGGAGGTCCTTGAAGCGCTCCCACTCCTCATGGAGTGGCTCTTTTGGCTGTTGGGCAAAGGAAACAATCTGGGACCGTAAATCTTATGTCTTCTGATGGGAGTAGTACCTCCAATGAACTTTGAATACACTTGCCCCCAAGTGGTGAGGGAGTCGGGAGCAAGTGTCATAAACCTAGCTTTGGCCAGGTCTTTGAGTGTCTCGGGAAAACACCTCATTTTCAGCTGATCCTCGTTCAAGTTGTGAACTGGAAAGGTTTGGAGGACATTGTAGAACTCATTTATGAAATGGAGTGGGTCCTCGTTGGGTAGACCATGAAAGGATGGAAGTTGGTTGTAGTGATCGTCTTGAACTTGTAGTTCCGAGCTGCTGTTCCTAGCCGAATGCACGAAGTCACCGGCCCGATCACCGGTTGGGCCAAATCACAAAGAAGATGACGAGGGGGGTTATTTACTTCCTCTTTGTCGTTCTGTGCCATGTCTTCTTGGCTGTCTGACTCTCGGTTGGCTGAGTCTGACGATTCAGGAGCAAGGTTGGCCAACAAGTCTCTCAAATCCCTGTGGATGGATTGGTCGTTTGGAATGATTACACGACCACTCTTGGTACGCATAAACAAAAACAACAAAAACGTCACGGGCACCAGATAGACAAGAGAGGGAACAAATGAAAATCAAAACAAGAAAACACTAAGACTAGACTAAGAAAACGAAACAAAGAGAAACACGCAAACAAGAAATCACAAAAATTAAGAGAGACACTGAAAATAAAATGAATAGGCGCACAAAGTAAGTCCTAAACTCTCCCCGACAACGTCGCCATTTTGTTGTAGTTATTTTTACCGGAGTTGAATCGAAAGATTCAAACACCGGGTCGTGTCTCAAGGAAGGTCAGCCGGATTATTTGTACGTATATTCAATCCCACGAAAAGAGAAAACAAATCTTAAACACTCTAATTCAATTTTTTGGTTTCGATTGTCAACTACGAACTCTAAACTAAGCAATTTTAATCACACAACTTTAAACACGATTCAAATAGTGGTAAAGGGACTAGGGTGTCGGGGACAATCGTTTTTGGTTCTCAATACATTTAACGGGCAATTAACTACTCGGCTAAATGACTCGAAAAACTAATTCATCTAGAGATTCATTCTCAATAACTCACGTAACAAGAGACTAAACATAAACGAACAATTATCGAATCAATTAACACATAGACGATACGTTTCCGAACGAGTCGATTCTAAATGAGCCAAGATCGATCGATTTCTCCCCTTTCGGTTCTAAAATCGATTAAATAGATTAGGATGGTGATCAATCATCAAACCCTAGGATTAGCACAACTCGCAAAGACAAAGCAATCGACTTACTTGTAAACGAAAACGAACCGGAACAATTATCCCCTAACCCTAGTTAACAAATTTAGCTGCTCATCATAGATTCAACAGCGAAATACACATCAATCAAAGCCATCATATTCATAAACAAAACGAAAAGAAGAGCTTACGATTAATAACGAATCCAAATCCAAAAGTCGAATCTTGGAGTTTTCACTATCCAAGATTGAAATCCAATGAAAAACTAAGAGAAAAGTGTTTTGGAAATGAAAGGTACGAAATACAATGTTCAAAGATGTCTAAAATCTGCCCTAGACTCAACCCTTAAGCCCTCCAATTCAAAATTCCGAGAAAAACGCAGCTATTACAAAACAGACCTTAGCAGCGGTAAGGTACCTTAGCGCCGCTAAGGCATCTTAGCTGATACAATATGTCCCCGTTAAGCTGTGAAGCACCACTAGCCAAACTGGCCTTAGCGGCGCTAAGGCCTGGGCAGCTCCAAAATGTTGACTTCTCGGGCTCGCGTACTCTCGCTTAGCGTCTTCTGGATCTTTTCTGAGTTAGAAACTCAATCCTCGCATTCTTGGTGGTACGAACCGGTATGGAACTCCTGAGAATCG